CCAAGGTTACTGTGCAGGGCAAAAAAAGTTCGATGCTCCTCACACAGGCTGGAAAACTTTTTTTTTGTTGCAGATCCATCTGTTTAGAATGCTGGAGGATCTTTTTTTTTCCCTTTAAAGATTTATATTGCTTGCAGACTGCTGAAAGAAAAAAAAAAATCTAGATGTTAAATAAATGCATGAACGTACGAAAGATTCTTCAAGTTTGTAGCCCACTTAATATTTAATAAATGTAATATATCATTTTTATAAATATGTATAACTTAGATATAAATAAATTTAGAATACATAAGGGATTACAATGGGATACACATTCATCTCTGTTGGCACAGAACAGACCAGGAATGCTTTATGAACAGATTAATCCTCATTGGGGAAAAATAAATGCCCTCCCCATTGACAGAGTGGTTGGTGGCAAGTTCCTTTTCTGAATTCCATGGAGCTGGAAGTGCAGCCCTGCAAAGAGCTGCAAGAGTGCTTTTTTTTTTGCTTTTGACCAAGAGGAATTAAGGCTGGAATCTGTGGGTGAAAGGTTGAGATGCTTTCAAACTTCATTCCACCTGGTAGGAATGAACGGTGCTGCTGTGTGAGCAGGGACTGGAGGAGGGCTGGGAGCTGCAGGTGGAATAAATGAGGGCTGAGGAAATGGCCTTGCTCGTGTTAGAATAAAAATCCTTCCTATGGAGGCCCTGCCCACGGGAGGGAGAGTTCTGTGTGTCTGAAACAACAGGCACAGCCACCCTTCGCTGGTGCCACGGGGTCCTTGTCCAGTGGATTTTGGGAGAGGATTTTTGGATGGTAATGTTGATGCTGCTCTTTGGTGAAAAATTGGGGGGGGGGAGGGGAAAGGGTTTGTGTAGGAAAAACCACAAGAAATCAGAATGTTTTGGGGGGCAAACAGCTTTTCTGCTTGGGGAGGGTTGAGGGATCCCATGTGTGCTCTGTGGCACTGAGGGACTGTCACCCTCCTGCTCCCCGGATTTGGGGTCAGACTTCCCTGCTCATGCAAAAAAAACACCCCAAAAAGGGTGATCCACGCAGCCCCAGTGCATTTCAAAGCAAAGCCAAATGGGAAGAGAGCCCAGGTGTGGAACTAAAGAGTCTCAAGTGGCAGCATCCAGCTCCGCGTCTCGTCCCGAGCGCGCAGGAGGAGGAGGAGGAGGAGGGAGGTGCTTTAAAATTCAGATAAGGAGGGTGAGTTTGCAGCTGAAGATTCTGAGCACACTGCCTTTGTGTGATAATATTCGAGATTTGCTGCCACAACTTATTGCACATTCATTTTTTGGAGTTTTTCGCTGCAGAAAATTGCCAGGAGGGATGGATTTTGTCTTCCTCAGCTGGCAGAACAATTTTCCACCTGTCGCCCAAATATTTGATGAGAAGGATTATGGTGCAGCTGCTGGAAGTTTATCCTTTATATCCATGGGAAGCAAGAGGGGCTGGTGAAGCAAAGACATTGATATCAGAGGTTGGCTTGCTGAGATGTATCTGCAGCACTTGTGACTTTTCAGCACGTGCTGGAAGTTCGGGAGGCCCTGACAAAGACGTGAAATAAAGAAAGGAGCACGTTGGGTGCCGGGGTTTTACTCAATCCCTGCTTTCCCTCCAGTTGCTCCCTTTTACTCCTGCCCTTTGTAAGTGCTGGATTGGCTGATCAGGGCTGGGGTGGTTTCCAGTGCAGGAGGAGCTGGGAGGGTCCATCTCTCTTCAGCTTCCCCAGAGGCACAGGCAGGGGATTTAACAGCAGGGGAGGTGGTTCCTCCTGGTAGGGTACAAGCAGGAAAAAAAGCACTGTGTAATTGGGTGGCAGAGGCATTAAAATGATTCCTGAAAGCAGAGCTGGCGCTGCAGTGACCCCTCAGCCCGTGGGTTCTGTGTCTGACCATCCCCTGCCCTGGGCTGGCAGGCTGGGCTGAATTCCCCGTTCCTGTGGGGCTTTAGCAAATCCCTGAACTGCAGGAAATAACAAAGGCATGAAAGGATTTCACGTGGGCAACAAAATCTGGTGTTTCCACCCGTGTCTGAGCGACTGCCAAAAAAAACCCACCCTGCGTGGGGGACAGGGTCATCTGATGAAGCAAATGTAGACAAATCTCCCCTAAGTTGCTTTTCTGTGACTGAATAAATGACTCAGATTTCATTGTGGGAACCATTCCACGCAGGAGGAAATGGCTGGATTCTGCAGTGTGGATTTTTATTTTTTTTTTTTTTCCATTCTCACTTCCCTGTAAAACTGAGCACACGTGCAGAGGGTGTTTGGCATTATTTTGGGGTGGTTCCATGGGAATCAGCAGCCTCAGATCCATGGAGGGGGAAGAATGTGAGTATCTGGAGTGCTGATCATCTGCAGGTGTCTTTCAGCTCAAGGGTGGGCCTGTCCAAAGGAAGGGTTGGGATGTTCCCACCTGGGAAAAGTCTTTGCACAATATTATTGTTACATTTATTATGAGTTACATGGCATGCTTGGGACACTTTTTTTTTTTAATAATATAGAAAGAATAATGCTACTTATTTATTCAAAATAATTTCTAACTTGGAAGAAGAAAAAAAAAAAAGATGTTTAGAACTCAGTTCTTCATTGTTTTAAAATGTCACTTTAACATTTAAATTATACCCTAATCACTTGTGAAATACTGAATCACCCATGTCTGCTGCTGTCCACATTTTCTAATGTGGTCTGACAGCAGCAGGTTATTTATTTCATGGAAGAATTTAATGTTTGTTCCGAACTTTTTTCCCCCCTCCCTTTCTTTTTTTTGTTTCTGTGATCGCCATAAAAAGATTTAAAGTCCCTGCTGGCCCCGTGTGCAGAGCATAAAGCACAAAGCACTTCCTGAAAGGTAATTTCCCAGGAATGAAAACCACAAGAATTGTGTTTCAGGGGCTGCTCTTCTGTCATTCCCTATAGAAAAAGAGCCCTTTTTCTGTAGCTCTGAAGGGCCTGAATGCTGAAAACTGAGGGTTAGATGGGAAAAAAAACCCTCAGGGATGTGCAGTCAGACCCCTTGGAACGGTCCAGAGGCTTTCAGGTGAATCTGAACACGAGTTGGGGTACGAGAAAAAATGATGCACAAAAGGAAGAGGCATTAAGTTAAAATTCCATGTATTGAGTGCACTTCGGGAGAGGCTTTGCTTTGCTCAGCAGCCACTGCAGTTACCTGAGAGGAAATGTTATTTATCTGGGAACGAGCATTTGTGGAACATCAGTAATAGCCTTATAATTACGTGTTTTAGGACTCGACCCTGGAGCAGAATACAGTAATATCTGTCTGTTTGTTGGGGACAGAGAGTCATTTCTCCCTGTGTGTGCTGGGACCTGCACTGGTTTGGTTTTCAAGGGCACTTAATGGAGTTCCATTGCAGTGAAAAGAGGCACCTTGACTGACCTCGTGATGTGAAAGCTTTTCCTGGGGAAGGAGCCGCTTCCCCAGCCCAGAACAACCCAGCAACAGGCAGATCATTAAATGCAGTGCCCTGGGTTTCAGTGGGGCTGGGATTTCATCCTCGGTGTCCTGCCCTAAATAGCAAATTCAGTGGAATGGCGCGGGGTCATTCCGAGTTCTCCAGCTGAGTGATCCTCCTGGAATTGCCTGCACTTCTCCCCCCACACCCTCCTGAAACACTCCGAGCGTTGATGGCAGTGTGGGATTTCCAAGCCTCTCCAAAAATCTTATAATGACTTTTTTTTTTTTTTTGTTATTTCCTCTAAAGCACAGATTTAATAAAGCCTGCAGGGACGCAGCATTACTGCAGATTGACAAGATGGAAATTGGCATAAATGTTCAGTAGTAAAACACTAAAACTTGTGATAATATTCCATAAACTACACTGAGAACGTGGTTTAAACCACGTTTGAAAGTCATTGTGGTTTCCCAGCACACCCTCAGAGTGTTTGCACACACAGAAACCCGGAGTGATGAGGGACAGGGACCTGGCTTTAATGGAAATAAAGACAAAGTGTGTTCTCATTATTCTGCCATCCACTAGACCTGGGAAGGCTTCATAACTTACCCCTCATCTGACTTTATTTCATTGTTTGGGTTCAGTCACATCCCTGGTGCCCTCAGCTCTTCCCTTCTCTGATCCTGGGTTCTTCCATCTGCAGAGATCTCCTCTCTTATCCTTTGACTGGGTGTGTTCAGTGCTCTCTAATCCTCCTTCACAAATCAATCCCTCCTGACTTATTTTTGTTGCTGTTCTCTGAATTTTCTCCAAAAAAAAAAAATAAATGGCAAACTACTGAGATAAATTCCAGCCTTGCTGGAAGTCGGTGGGAATTTCCCAGGTTTGGCTTGATGAGAAGTTCTGGTGAGGGAAAAGCTTGGATTCCAGGGCTTCTGGAATTCAGACAGTGAGGCTCAGAACACTCACTACCTTGCAGTTTCTGGCCCTATAAAAACCACTTTTTCCCTTTTTTCGGGGCTGCAGGCAGTGGGAGCAGAGTAGAATCTCCTCTGGGAGGGTATGAACCAGCAGCTCGGTTGTCCCAGGGCTGCAGGGAGCTCTTCATATCTGTGTTCCTCTGTGGTTAACACTGATCCCTCTTAAACCCACAGCAGCTGTCTAAAGGAAATTAAATTCAGTGGCAGGAAGGGAGATCTGGTAGTTCAGGCACTGGGCTGTCACTCCAGGGAGTGAGGTTTAGCGTCTCCTTCTTCCACAGACTTTCTGGGCGACCCTGGGTGACTCATTTAATCTTCCTCTGCCTCAGTTCTCCGTCTGTAAAACCGTTAACTGTGATGGTGCAGTTTCTGACGACTCTGAAGCTTCTTTTCTGTCGGTTTTCTTGACAGCTCTTACACTTCAATGATTTGATTCTGCATGTGTGTCCTCGCAAAGCACAACCCGACAGCTGCCGAGTCCTCCTTAAATTAGTTTTAAATAAACCCCCAAAGTGGCGTTTCACCGGTGGAATGAGACGACACAAAGGGTGAGAAATGTGAATAAAAAAACCAAAAGAACCATGAGAGACATCTGTGTTTTCCTCTCCTTCCCCTTGCAGGCAGTGAGAACAGCGAGGCCCTCCCCGAGTCCATCCCCTCTGCCCCCGGGACGCTCCCGCACTTCATGGAGGAGCCCGACGACTCCTACATCATCAAGAGCAACCCCATCGTGCTGCGCTGCAAGGCCAAGCCAGCCATGCAGATCTTCTTCAAGTGCAACGGGGAGTGGGTCCACCAGAACGAGCACGTGTCCGAGGAGAGCCTGGACGAGGCCACCGGTGAGGGCTGGGGCAGGGACTGAGCTCTGCTCTGGAGGGAACAGGGAGGGGTTCTCTGCGTTTCAGTGCTGCACTTTGGAGTGGGAACATCAGCTTCTGGGGAATTCCTGAAGGGCTGAGCCCTGAGAGCCACCCAGTGTGGGTTGGGATTCGCCTTCACCCCCCCCAGGCAGTGCAGGAGTTTGGGTGGCAATAACACAAAGCAGGAGAAATGCACTGAGTGCAAGTGTGTGTGGAGGAGAAGAGAATGGGAAGGTTGAAAATGATCATCAGATCTGATCAGGTCCCATCACTCCCCTCTATCTTTTCTCATTTAGCAGCATCTTGGTAAGTTTTGCAAACCAATTTAATGCTGCGCCGCCTGTAACTTCACAATTCTGTTTTTGTTATTGCTTTTCTGAAATTCCAGGATTGCTAGGCAACTCCAGCCTTGGAATAGCAGTGTGTGTGTGTGTGTGTAACATCTTCTCTGGCAATACGAGAAATTCCTTTTTTTAGAGGCAAAAATGCCACTTTAAAAGAAGTTGCATCTCCTAAAGTGGTGTTTGGCATTCTTTCTAAGTGGCATATTCTGAAGAAATCTCATACCAAAGGTTTTTGCAAATGCTAGTCTGCAAGAATTTTAATTTTTACAGCTACCTTTTCAGAAGTAATTTAATAGGCATAACCTTTACTTCTTCAGGCACTGCTGAATCAATAGAGGAGAAGTGTGGTCCCTAAAAGCTTTCCTTCCATATGGCTGATGAAAACGTGGCTTGTGAATGCTGCAGTTATGTTTCCTAAGCCTTGGATTAATAACAGAATAAAACAAAGTAACATTGGGGTTCTGATTTTTAGTAATATCAAGGTTTGAGATGTGGTCTGGGATGCAGAACCATGGAAGGGGTTGGGTTGGAAGGACCTTAAAGCCCCCCCCTCGTTCCAACCCCTGCAGGGACACCCTCCAGGAGACCATGTGAATGTTACAGGTTTGGGTTTAGCCCAGGGGATGGAGGGTTGGTCTCTCAAAACAAGTGTGGTGCAGACAGTGCAGGGTCTGGGAGCCCCAAAACTGCCTGAACGGTCCTTGAGGACACAAAAATGTGGGTAAAGACATCGTGCAGTGCTGAGGGACAGCCATGGCTCTTCCCTCACCGTGATGGATCCATGTCCATGAATGTTTTGGAGCTCAGCCTTCAGTAAACAGCAGACTACTGGGTTTTTTGGAATTAATGTGCATCCCTGGCAGGGCTCTCCTTCCTGGAGTCGAATCTGGGGCACAAACACGTCTGTTCCCAAGCACACACAGTGTTCTGTGTGCTGTGTGAGCTCCATCTGCAAAAACTGCACTGGGATTGGGGCCAAAAACGGTGCTTTTGGTTGCAGGGGGATTCTGGTCCCTCCCTGAAGGGAGGTTGCGCTGCAGCAAAAGGATCTGTCCCCCTCCATCCTTCCACTGGTTGGATGGGATTAAAATCCTGGAGGGAGGTGCAGAAGCGGTGAAAAACAGCAACAAGGAACCCAAACAAGGGGAAATTCAATGCTGAATGAAAGAAATGTGTCTTGGCATCTGCTGTTTATTCCCTGAACGTGGCAGAGCAGGGACTTTGGTGTCTCTCTCTCCTCTGCCTCATCGAGCCAGAGCTTGAGCTTGGAGATGCTGCTGTGATAAAAAAAAAAAAAATAATAATTACAATTTGATTCATTTCCTTCTGCTTTGTCTCCCCTTCCTGAGCTCTGCCCGTGCACTTCAGAGTGCCTTCACAAACCCTCAAGTTTTGGTTTCGCCAGAGCATCAGACCTGCCCGGAGTAACTCGAGTTTCCTTGTCTGATAACTGAAAGGATTACAGCAATAACTGCTGTCAGTGTTTTTCTCATTTAAACAAATAAAGCTGACAAATGCTGAAGTTCTCTGCAGCTCTGTTGTGTTTAGTACATGGAGAGCAATTATTCATCTGCTGCCAGCATTAGTCTATCTGCAGCTAAACCATCCAGCAGAGCAGAAAGCTCATTAGCATATCAGTGCCACAGCCATAATTTCATATTCTGTACGGCTGTACTGTAAAACAAAAGATGATGGTTATAATTTGCACAATAATTTAAAGGGTTGGACTTGCAGTGCTTATTAGAGTTATTCAAGTCACAGGTAAAATGTTGCTCTTGTTTATGATGTGCCTGGTTTTATTTGCATGGATTTTTCATTCGGTGTCATTTCCTAGGAACAATTTTTCTGGTGTCTCTCAAGATGCAGAGGGGAGGTGAATGTATTTGGTGGTGAAATACAGCGATGATAAATGAAGAATATTCCTCTCTTCCCAATAGGTTTGCTTTCTGTAGTTGTTTCTAAAACAAATGAAAATAGCTCTGCTTTCTCCATAAACAAAGCACAACTTTCCCCAAAGACTCGATGCTCTCCAGAGGCCCTGTCCATCCCCGAGAACTCTGAGATTCTGCTGGTTTGGATGCATTTATTTTTGTCTGTGGGTAACCTGGGAGACCTTTAAAAGGACCTGAAATCCTACCCAGCCCGTTCTCAGAACGCTGATCCACCAGCTCCCCGAAATCATGAGCTGTTTGTTTGCCACATTAAATGTGGGCTGATTTATAGATTAATTAAACACCATGTCAATGGGAGGAAGAGCTGGGCTGGAGAATATTCTGCCTTAATAAATCCAGAGCTGTAAATGCCTGAATTCACTGACGCCTGCCCAGGAATGTGCAGTGCCCACGAGCCAGGAAATGGCTCCTGCTTCTCGAAAATTCATCAGCGCGTGACGCCTTTTCTGGGTCGGTGTCGGTAATTCTGTCGCTGCCAGCGTGGAGGCACCAGGAACCTGCACTCACACCTTTGTTTGCTGCTTCCCCAAACGCCCAGAGGGGCATGTCAGCTCTGGAGTGCTGGCTGAGTGATTCCTGCTGCAGTCAGGCCATCCTGGGAAGGTCACTTTGTCAAGGACTTCTTCATCACTTCACGCCCTTGTTGAAGTCTTTCAGTAGGTGGGTGTTAACCTGGTTGGACATTGTGGATTTGGGGGCTCTGATGCTCCCCAGCCTTGACTGAGATTCCCTCAGGGGCTGCACGTGGTGGGATGCCAGACCTGCTGTCAGATGCTCTCCAGGAGCACTCCCTGCAGCTTGTCTAAACCTAAACCTTTCCAGATCACTCCAGATCACCCCTGTGATCCAGGGATTTATCACTGGGCTGGTTAAACGGTGCAATCCTCCTGGCACTGTCAGCAGGGAGGGGTCTCTGGCACAGCTGCCGCTCCCAAGGGCTGGGTTGGTTTGCTGAGGGTTTGTTGTCACCAGTCAGGAGACAACGGGAGTGTTTGGAAACAGTCCTGTTAAAAACAGCATCGAGGTGGGGAAAAAGGAGACGTAAACAAAAACATCCAGGAAACCTCTGTTTGCTTATTAGAGAGGGAATAAATATTTGAGTGGCTAAAGTGATTCTTGGGCGTTGGTGTGAGGCCAAATAGGCTGAGTGAAAAGAAGGAGAAATCCCCTCTGTTGTGTAGTATCTCAGCTTGCCTGACCATCCCTGTCCCTCTTTGGGGCACCCCCAGAGCAGCCCCTCCCTCCTGTTTGCCACCTTGACTTCCCAGTGCCTTTGAGAAGTGAATGCCCAGCTGGTAATGATGCCTGAGATTAAGTGGAAGCCAATTTTTATGGAGTTCAGGCTTAGAATTCTTGCTGCTTTATAAACTTCACAGGCATGAAATACTTTAGGATTGAGCTTTCCTTCATTTCCAGTGAAGGGGAAATAAGTGTCTTGGGACTGCACGGGAGGAGAAAGAAGGAAGTGCAAGGCATGAATGTTTTCTGTTTTCTTTTAATGTCTCTCTGACTCTTTCAAATGATTCCTAATGCCCCTGAGCCCAGATTTGGGTTATATCTCCCCTCCCAAGGTTGTCACACAGATCTGGTGTGTAAGACAAGGTGTCAGGTTCTTGGATTTACCATCAGGCTTTGTCTGGAGCAAATGCTCCTGGTCTGAAGGGCCACAGAGCTAAACTTCACCTGCACTTGAGGAGGGTTTTCAAGGGCACGGAGATGTCAGATCAGAAGAGTTTTATTGTGTGTTTTGAAGCTCCAGATGAAGGTTCTGGGTGAGGAAGGCACCAGAGAAGGGGTTCCTGGGGGAGGTGTTTTGCGCTTGCAGAGGCCACAGTGGGTGGGTAATCCACGTACCTGCTCATCTCACGGAATTTAATTAGTGGCAATATATTGTTGCCAGAGTAATTAAAGCTTCTCCTTGATTAAAAATGGAGCTGTTAATTAAGAGGAGAGCTCTGGGTAACTTGGTCCGGCTCGCTGTCCCTGCTCACCCTGTGCCTCTCTCCCCGCAGGGCTGAAGGTCCGGGAGGTTTTCATCAACGTGACGAGGCAGCAGGTGGAGGATTTCCACGGCCCAGAGGATTACTGGTGCCAGTGCGTGGCCTGGAGCCACCTGGGCACCTCCAAGAGCAGGAAGGCGTCGGTGCGCATCGCCTGTGAGTGCCAGCTCAGCTGGGGGCTCGGGGGGGAGGGAAACGCTTCTTGTGGGGTTAAACATCACCCTCCACCTCCTCAGGTACTGCTGTCCCTGTCAGCACTCCCTGTGGGACGCTCTGGGAATATCCCAGGAGGCCATGGGTGCCAGCAGGGGGGGAAAATGTCTTCCCTCCTTTCTCTGAGGAATAAACTCATCCCAGCCAGAGCTCACAGAAACTCGGGGGTCTCTGCCTGGACTGAGCTCGTGTTGGTTAGAAACAAATAATGTTCAGTGCTGTTCATGGAGACATTTACAGAACCACTGCTGAGGATAATGAAACAGTTCCTGGGCGAGGTGGGTGATGTTCCACTTCTTTAGCCCCAGAGTTGGTGTTCAGTGCCCAGACTCGGCTTGACTCTGTTCCCCCACGTCTGTGATGGGTGGTGTGGGTTTATAACTCACAATCAGCACGTCCCTGCTGGGGAGGTGCAGAAAAGGACAGTGCAGTAGATGCCCCCATAGCCAGAGGGACAGAAAAGAGACAGGGACCCAAATGTGATTGTGGCTGTGAGGCTGTGGAGCTACTCAGAGCCTCATCCAATTTTGGCCTCGCAATTAGATCTGTGATGTCTTTCTAACAGAATCAGAGCCTGAAGCCCCTCTTTGCAGCGGTGCTGCCAGCAGGGAATTCAGGGAATTGCTCCCCCCAAACTGCTGTAAACCCTTTTCCTTTAAATCACCTCCCCAGGTCTTCCCTTTGCAGTCCTGGGAAATGAGGCACCAGCCAGCAGAGGGCTGGGAGAGATGGTTCCTGCGAGGGGATGAGGGCAGCAGGAAGAGGTTGGGGAGGTCCAAGTGAGAAACTCTGAAGGGTGACCTTCCAGGTGGTGTTCCAGCAATTCTTAATGAACCTAAAACAGAATAAACATCTGAGAGAAGTAAATAGGGCAATGTGACAACTCCTCCATTTTACAAATGGAAGATTTTTTTTTTTTTAAATTTTTTTTGTTGTTGGCTGATTCAGTTTGAATGTCTAAATACGTGTAAATTCAATTTTTTATTTCACTGCATTAACTGTCATAACACTGAGCTAATAATTCCCCTGCACTGCCGAGCTGCAAAGGGCCTTTATCTGAATTGAATTTTTATTGACTTTTCTCCGTGCTGCGATTCCCCAACCCCACAAAATGGCAATTTGAGTCCAGCTCAGAGCGAGCAGGAGCAGGTGGAGCCGTCCTGGGATTTCAGGCTGTGGTACCAGCTGTGCACAGCACCCCCCCAGCTGCCACCCCACATCCCATGAACCTCTCCCCGCTCCCAGGGGCTCTTCAGCCCAGCCCTGCAGCGTTCTGGGGATGGCTGAGAGCCTGTGCTGCCTGTTTTGGGGCCACTTGTGCTTGAAAACCGTGGCTTTTTATGGGAAGAGCAGCAATTCCTGAGTGCAGAGATGATGGGGCTGGGCAGAGCTCCAGGCAGAGCTGCAGCAGGTGCCTGGAACCCCCCCCAAATGCCCAGAGCTCGGAGTGCCTGGGGCTCTGTGTCATCCTGTCCATGGGGAAACAACCTCCCAGCTGAGCCTGGGACAGGCTGGACCTCTGGGGTGCACAGGGAGGAACCCACAACTTCCTTCTTTCCCCTTTTTTCTTTTTTCTATCGCACTTAAATCCCAAAGATTCTCGAGTTGTGAGTCAAGTCCAGAGCGTTGCAGCACTGTTAATAATTCTCTGAAAAAGCAGGTAAGTGTTTCTGTGTGATACTGGGGAAGGCAGAGGAGATGAGAGGATGGATCTTGCTCCATTTTTCATCCCAATAAAGGCATTTGCAGGCACAGCTGCAGCCTGACTGTTAACGAACGACTTTTTAAATGGAGGGCTGGAAAAGGTGTTGGTTATCTGTGGGGGGAAAAAAAAAATCCACATTAGCACAGAATCATGGAAAGAAGAACCCAGCACAGGGCTCTGGGGGCAGGAATGGCCCTTTGGAGGGGTGATGGGTTCTGCTGAGTGAGTGACTTGCTTTAAATCCTGCAGATCTGCGCAAGAACTTCGAGCAAGACCCGCAGGGGAAGGAGGTTCCCATCGAGGGGATGATCGTCCTGCACTGCCGACCCCCCGAGGGGGTCCCTGCAGCTGAGGTGAGGCCTTGGGGAGGTGAGAGGGGGAGAGAAGGGGCTCAGCTCTTCACCCAAACTCAGGACAGTTTGCTGAAAAGTCCAGATTTTGAGACAATTTCTCGTGTTCTGCTCTTCCAAACCCCAAAACCAGATTGTGGCTCGTTTTTCTCGGGGGGGGTCGCTTTTCTCCTTGAAAAGTAAAACAAAGGAGAAGACAGACCTAAAAATATTGTGATGAATTGTTGCTGGAGAGGAGAAAATCTGCTGCAGATAACAATTTGGTGGGTTTTTTTGCTTAGCTTTAAATATGCTTTTTATCATGGGAGTTGGATCTTAACAGGAGAGTAATGGGGATGCCTTAAAATGGCCATGGCCAGGCTGTTCTTGCAGGGAGATGTTCTAAGTGGGTCGTGGTTAAGAATCTGCTACAGAGGCTTTAAAAACAACAAGAAAACGTTGCATTTCTAATTGCACTCTGCAGGCTCTTCAGCACCTTCTGAGGAAGACGAATAGGTTGGCTCAGAAGTTGTTTTTGCCCCTTATCTCCCCCATCACTGGGGTTTGTTCTAATTGAGGGAACAAAAGGAGCAAGGAAAAATAAACTCCAAAGACATGTGTGTCTTTTAGTTAAGGAGGAGAGCGTTGAGCAAATGTCACTGAAAATACTGTCATTAGTTACACAAGGGCTCTGTCTTCTATGGAAGAATTATATCCAGTGGAAAAATGGCATTTTAATTGCTTTCTACAGATAGAAATGGTAGAGTTCTCAATAAACCCTGATATACTGATGCTGATAGTAAACTTGTTATTGCTGCTAATAAAGCCTGTAAATCTCAACAGGTCATATTTGCTTTGGCCAATAACATTTCCCATAAAGGCTCAGGCTAATTCTGGGCCCATCAAGGTGAAGAGGCCGCTGGAAATAATTCAGTGTCTTTAGAAAGCTTAAAAACAGGTTAAATCAGTCCTGGCTCTGGGCTGGGATGCTGAGCTCGAGGTTATAAACTCTGCTGGTACCTCCCAGTGAAAGGACAACCTGCCCTGTTAAACAGAGGGGTGGGAAATGGCTGAGATAGCCCCAAAGGCCCCCTCAGAAATTGTTCTCTTGGGTGCTGAGAAGTGCAGAAGGCTTCAGCCCCAACTGCTGCCAACAAACCCGTGGTTCTGAGCCAGGAATTTATTTCATTAAGAGTTTGGATGGAGCCCTGGATGAAAACATAAGGCCTGAAATAACTCTGGACAAAGGAGCTCGTCTTGTGGTTCGTTAGATGCAAAGTAGATGCTAATTTTGGATTGTTGTTTGTTTGTTTGTTTAATCCACGCTGGGCACGGGCCTGGAGGCTTCCACATCCCATCACCAGCAGCACTGAGAACACCCAGATTAAGTGTGCTCATGTGTGTTCATTTCTGCACACAGGAGGTATAAAGTGAGTCAGGAGAGCGTGGATTTAAGGTCTGGATCCGTAGTTTAAGTGAGTTTAAGGTGTATATGGTTTAAAACTCGGCTTGGATCAGTGAGTTTAGCAGGAATTGGAAGCTCCTGTGGCCCCGTGGCTGCTCTGCTCCCACGGCTCAGTTTAGTAAATATTCCTTAAGCTGAATAACATGTCAGTGAAAACAAACAATCCAGGGATTACAAACAGCAGGAGATGGAACATGAGACCATTGTGCTCTGCTTTGGGAGGGTGCTGGGGTTTGGGGCTCTCTGGGTGCATCACTGCAGCAGTAAGAGGGAAAGAAAACCCAAATCCTGACGCTGGGCAGACAAAAAAGGTTTTGAATCCTCTTCTCACGCATTTACATAGCAAGCAGCGAGAGCTGGTGAGCAGCTGTGCTTGCAGGCATCAGCACCCAACCCAAATAAATTCAGTTTTTATGAGCTGAGCATCGAAATAAAAAAGAAAATTCAGCATTTAAATAGAGCAGCTGAAAATCCCCTGCTGTGGCAAGTGTTGATTCAAATCTAACAGAGTCTCTGCTGGCACAGGCTCTGTGGGACCACAGCCATTCCTCTCACCATTGATGTGGAGTTGGCCTGGGGAAGAGTCAGTTCTGGCTCTCAGTCCCCCAGCAGCTTCTCCCCAGGGAGATGTTTATTAATTGTGTGCAGCAGAGGCCTCCTTTGGCTCCGGGTGTGCCCTGGGGAGCAGTGGGGGATCCTCCCAGGACCAGCTGAGCTCCCACAAGCATCCTCCTCCTCTGGGTGTGGTTGTGCTGCCAGGGGGGCACCTGGGCTGGGCTCTCTGGGCCCCTCTGCATGGCTGGGACTGGTCCAGGGGCAGCAGCTCTGCTTTTCATCGGCAGGATGAGGAGGAGAGGGAAGGGAGGGCTGAGTTCCCCTCGAAAACGTGGAGCTGAACGTTGGGTTTGCCGGAACCAACATCTTCAGCCTCGCGGCTGATGAGGGTCTGTGTCTCCTCAGCAGGGGCTGACCCTGCCCATCACACACAGTTTGTGGTTTGGGGAGCGTTCTGGAGAACTCTGTGATGGGAGGAACAGGCTCTCCATCAGAGGGGGAGGTTCCAGAGCCGTGTGTGTGACGGCGACACGGCACGCGAGGCGCGTTATCTGCTGCTCCCCCTCGCCAGCTGCCTCCCCTCACACAGCATCCTGCTGCTGCAGAGAAACCTCTGCACAGCTCCAACAAGTGCAGTGTGTTACTGAGGTGAAGTGTTTCCTGCCCTGGGGTCGTGCTGGCTCTCTGGATGTGCTGTTTTCCGTGCCTCGTTTGTCGTGGGTGGCCGTGTGGGTTCAGCTGATTGCCCTGCATCGCTCCCAGCAGTTATTCTTGGTGCTCTCCCGTGGCTCAGCACCAGGGAAGCCTCACACTGGTTTTAGGTGATTTTTAGAGCATATCCTTAACCTACAGCCTGGCATGAAGTGCATTCTGTGCTCAGCCTTAGCCAAGCTTTAGGTCCTGTGTGGGGCTCAGCCCAGCCCTGGGCACGGGAGATGAAAACTGGAGCTCACAAGGCCCAGCTCAGCCTGTTTGAAACACAGAGAACGTGGGGTGGTGGTGCCCAGCAGAGCTCAGGGGCACTCTCTGTTTGCCTCTCAAGTTCCTGGGCATTTTCCTCTTCATTCATCCCATCAAAATTTGGGGAACAAAACCAGGAAGGCAAATCCATCCATCCCACGTGCTGACTGACCCCTGTGCTGAGGCTCTGGCTGCAGGGGATCAGGGTTTGTGTGACCCCAGGCTGGACCCCACAACTGGCATGGATGGATTTGCCCTGCTGTTGGTGGAATTCTGATCTTTTTATGGGCACTGCCCCATTTTGTGCAGCACAAAACAGAATAAGACCTTTTGTTCCTTTTCTCCTGCGCCTCCCCTCAAGGGCATTTCCTGACACAGGCATCCCTTATCTTCTCAGCTGACCTTTTAGTCTTTCTTTAAATAGGTTGTCTCCAGTCTGTGCTCTCCTCAGTTTCTTGAAACTCTTCATTTTTGGTGGGGGAAGGCATAAAACATAGATCCTCGTTTTTGCAGTGCTTGACAAGCTTGTTGCTGCCTGTGTGTGTGCTGAGTGTCAGCATCTTCAGCTCTCCTCCTTTCTGTGTAATACTTTCCCCTCATTCTGTGTTCAAATAGCCCTTCTCTGAAGAAGGGAAGACTCTCTGAGGTTATTTTTCTGTTGTTCCCTCTCAGCACAGCTGGCAGTTCCTCGTCCCTGCCTGGTTCCCTCGGTCCTGGTGTTGCTCTCTGGCTGTTGTCAGACCAGCTGGAACCTGGAAAATAGTCGATATTCATTTAATGAGGTTTGGGATAATCTCTGTTCTGTGTGTTCTCCCTTATTAGTGCTTCAGAGAGTGAAATATTAATTCTTTTTTGGTACAGGAGCAAAAAAAAAAAAACAACAAAAGCTCTTCCTTTTGTAGCTGGTAATCCCTCAGACAGGTGTCATGGTCTGCTGGAGGAACATCCCTGCTGCTCTTCCATCAGTGCCAAAAGGGCTTTGGATCTCTCCAGCTGCCAGGGGCTGGTCCTGTTTAATTCAGTGCACTTGGTAATCAGGTGTTTAAATATTCCTTCAGCTGGACAGGGAGCTGCCACGGCCTGCTCTGAAATATTCAGCATCAGGAGGAGTTTGTGTCACCTTCCTGAGACCCGGGTTTAATGTGAACGTGGTGTGTCTTAGCTCTGGAGAAAAGGTGTGAGACTGATGGTGCTGTGAAATGGGGCTGCCCTGGGCTGGGTTAATCAATCCTGCCTTGCTGTTGAGGTGCCACATGAGCCACGATAGCAGAGATAAATGTTTAAAAACCTCAGGCTTTCAAACAAATAAACCCAACCCAAGCCCTGAGCTTGCTGGACTCTGCTCCTCCTGAGCAGGACGATGCTGAGGGGTTTGAGGGGAGACCTGCAGGGTCGTGTGGAATGTGGGATGAGCTGGGGGAAGCCAATCTGAGCAGGAGCTGGCCTTAAAATTCATCCTAAATCCCTTTCTTAGGAATAAATACTCTCTGAGACGAAGTCTCTGAGTAGCTCATATCTGAGCATTAGTAGCAACTTGCAGCTCTTCCTGCATCTCCTGTCATGGTGGTGGTGGGGTTTTTGTGGGGTTTGGGTTCTTTTTGTTTGTTTGTTTGTGGGTTTTTTGTTTGTTTGTTTGTTTTTTTGTTTGTTTTGTTTTGGGTTTGTGGTTTTTATTTTTTTGTAATAAAAAGGCAGCTGTTGTGCTAAACTATTACTGATAGTTTACTGTTACTAAACTGTTACTGTTGAGTGCTCTGCAGAGGTTTGTGGAATACTCTAAAATATCTTTATCACATAATATATGCATATATTTAAGATTTAAATGTGTTGTATCCAGTGCTATTTTTTCAAATGTTTAACACGGATTTTGACATTTTAATGGACTGCTGTAGATGTTCCCAGGAATATCTGCCTGAGTTCCAAGGGTTTATTTACCACCAGAGCTTTTAATGGAAATGTAAAATCATTTCTCTTCTGGGCAGTACGTATTCCATTGCAGGCACATCAACAAAACGTGAAACCCACATAAAATTCAGAAGCTGCA